GTAACTTATCTTTGGTATGCATTATAGCATGGCATATATGTTTAATACGTTAGATTGTACATAACTAACGAAATGAAGATTTCAAAAAAAAAAAAAAAAAAAATTATAAATTCAAGAATCCAGTCTTGAAGTAGTCTTGAAAATTTTAGGAAGACTCGAGAAAGAAGAGACGCAACAAAAATTGATATTTGACTTTGAAAGTCACTTGCAACAAGTTTCCTCTAAAAGTGTTTTTACAAAATTATAAATAGATCCAACGACAACTTTTCCCACTTCCATGAACGAAACTCTTGAATACCATCCGAATCTTTTTCTCCCCAATGCAAGTAAAAGTCGGAAACATTGGATGTATGATGTATGCCCAAGTGTTGCGACAAGTCAATTTTGTTGGAAATACTCTCGGCGTTCAGAAAGACCTCGTTGCTTTCCAATTAGCTGGATTTCGCAATTGCACCTTTGTTTACTGGTAGACTGCTTATCCTGAAAAACTGATATCATTAATTCGTATATTTATAAGTTTGAAATCAATCAAAGTCTCTTGAAATTCATCAAATTTGACGATTCTTGTTAGTGAGGTTTCAGAGAATAAGGATCTTTCCTCAATGCTTCTCAAAGCTTTGGAAGGTGCCATTATACTGGAATCTTTCCTTAAGACAACCGTAGATGTCTTCACTTTGGTGTTGGAGTCAGTTGGAAGTATGCTTCATCTTCTGGTTGTTGAATTGTATGGCATGGTTGCCTCTGTTTCTATTGTATGAATGCAAATTGTATATTTCTTTTTCTTAGAATTTCACATGGCCAATTTTTTTCCAGTAAGTGGAAAGTGTCTGACCCATTTTTCCATTCTTAACCATCCGAAACTAACGGATACAATCTTATTGTTAGAAAAACTTTGTGGAAGAATTTGATAAACCAATGTTCTTTTAGTTGTTGTCATGTTGAGCCATGATCTGTGCAAGATTACAATGTCAGTGGAGGAGGCACTGAGAATAAATTTAGGGAATGACTACTTAGGTAGTTAAGACATGTTTCCCTTAAATCAAGAGAGATTCTTGTTCATAAGAGTGGGCACGAACACAATAAAACATGTGCATAGAGACGTGCAACGTCGCTCCATAATTTTTGTTCTCATATAAACTTGAGTTTTTTTCTTCAGCAGAAAATGGGAGGAATAAATTTTCTTTCCTACTCTCGAGTGGTCATTACATCATATGACTACTGACTACACATATTATGTCTATATTTGTTCTCGAATTATTAGTAGTTAGTTTCTGTAGCTTTGCCTTCAATGATCCAGAAGTCATTATTTGTTTCTGTAGTTTCTAGGTGATAAATACCCCCATGAATCTTCTATTAATAAACATGCTTCTTCCACCACAAAGTAAATTCAGTTCATATAATGTCCTTTGATTAGACAAGGAATAAATCAATACAATTAGAAAAGAGACACAAAAATCATTTTTTTTTTTCAGAAGACTTGATTGATTTGAAGGCACCTCCCCCTCCTCCTAACAAGTAGCTCTAAATCATTCGAAACGAAGAAAAAGGATTACGTAACTATAAAGTTTTCCTCCGAACATTAAGAATGATTTATTATAATCACTTTTGACTTGATCGAAAGTTAGCTCGATTCAAAGGAATTTGAATGAGAAGTTATGAACTTGAAACATGATTAAACAAGACAAGTAATAAATCTTTTATTCACTTTTGAAACATGAGGGGTTGACACTTGACAAACCCTCTTAAATAAAACCTTTGTTTGATTTAGCTAAAAAAATTAATAAAAATTTAAGATAAAATCAACAGTTAATTTTAATTACACATTTCACGAGGTTCACAACTTTTATCAACTTTTCAATCACATATTTTATTAATTTTTCAAAACCTACTAAAAACTGATTTTTAACAAAACCAAGTAGGGGCTAAATTTTGTTATTTGTTCATTATAGGATGTGGCAACACTGCGATGTAATGTGAAGATAGCCATGTCATGACATTGGTTATATGGTGCTCTTGGTACATCGATGCTCACTGCAACGTAATTAACCTTTCGCGGCATTTTTGTAACTATAGACTATTTATGGCATGACTTAAATGTTGGACACGCCAAGTATACTATACAAGAAATAATGCGAGAATTTTTTAATTTTTTTTCTCGGGCCACTAAGTTTTAATTTTTTTTAATTATCTTTGAAAATTTAAATTTTTAATTTGAATAAAAATTTAAAATAAAAAACCTAATCCCTAATTCCCTTTTGTCACTTCACTTCATTCCTCCCAAAACCAAAAGAAAAAGAATTAAGAGTGCGTTTGATTATTAATATTTTCTATGGAAAATGTGTTTTTTCTACCTAATTTCCTATTTTTATGCTATTTGATTGGCAATTTTTTCAAGGAAAACATTTTCCTTAGGGAGAGGTGGTTTTTCTAAGTTGAAAATTAAATCAATCAAATACATTTAATTAATAATTTCCATACGAATAAATTCTAAGCAATTCAATTGCCTCAAATTAATTTTTTTCCATGCAAATTTCATACTCGCAATCAAACGCACCCTAAAAAGAAAGTAGAAACCTTAGCCATCGCCACCAGGTCACCAATGTCTGGCACCCGTTTGCCTCTTTTTTCTTTTGCCGGTCTCTCAACTGTTTCACCTCTTCTGAAGCCCCAAGACTAAGTTGGAATTGACAAGAATTTGCACATGGGTTGGTGATAAAGAATGGACAAGAATTGTATTGAGTTTTATGCTTATTTGCCTTTGTTTTTACCCAAAACTTTTTATTGTCAACCATAGTTTGGTAAGCAACAAACTATTTTGAATTCTCACTTTCTGTTCAGTTCTTCCATCATTTTCATTGCTTTATGTTACACTATTTCTGTATGTAGTCTCTTTGCTGTTAACCTCACATTGCCTAGGGATTGTTTTATACGACATGCAGTTAATTGCCGTAAAAAGCAAACTATGTTACAATGGTTGCAAATGCTTTTCACACTTCAGTGAATTGCATCATTCATTGATGAGAAACATAAAAATCATTGTTATGGGATGATTAGTGTTGACCTCAAAAAATGCACTAATAGAATCTTGGTCACCTCTTCTTCATGTAGACATCACCTATGCACTAGAACACTCCATCAAGAGGCAAAAGCCGCCAGTTGAAAAAAAAGTTCCGCTATCGTTTGCACACTAACGATCAAGTCAAATGGTTGGAGAAAATATAATATGAGTACAAGCAACGTGATAAGGGGATTTGTGTGCGTGTGTGTGTGTAGTGAAATGAAAATGGGTAAAGTGATACTAGGGGTGGACATGGGTTGGGTTGAGTCAGTTTTTGCCTCAATCCAAACCCAACCCAATATGAGTTTGATCAAAATTTAATCCAACC